TTCTAAAGATTCACAAAGCTGAAGTCTGGGTTTTCTGTTTTGCTTCCTTAATATTTTCTCCCCACCAACCGACAATATTTTCCCAAAATCTCTTGCACCATGTCCAGAGGATGAGGAAGTCCCGTTTGGTGGACAGAATCCCGAGGACGGGAATGTTCTCTTTGGAGCAAAACCGGAGATTTCCTGGGGCTCTATGTAATTTTGAGGTTGAGTGGGAGTGAGGATGGGCGGGTTGATCGTCGGGAGAAACTGTGCCAACGACAAGGGTCAGTTGCCAGAGGACTGGGATTGAAGATATTTCATAAAAAGCGGCAGTTATGCAGAATAAACACACAGAATACTGCAGAAACTCAACAGGTCCAGCTGTATTGGTGGAAAGAGAAGCAGAGCAAAGGTTTTGAATACGGCGAGAGTCTTGTTCAGAACGTGTCTTCCCCGAATGTCAACGAACTACCAGACCTGAGAAAACCTGAGTTGGTTTTGACAGAAATGCAGTTGGCAGGATTCGAACCTGCGCGGGAAACTCCAATGGATTTTAAATCCATCGCCTTAACCACTCAGCCACGACTACAGGCCACATGTTAGTGAGGGAACAATGTAAAGGAAGAAATAGCAGAACATTCACCAAAGATGACCGCAGTCAAACTGCGTCAACATCGTTTGCTGAAAGGAAATCTGCACTTGACAATTTTCCAAGAGTTGTTTGCTAACATTAAAAGCAGAGTTCATAAAGGGAGCCCGTAGATGAAGTGTACTTGAATTTTCCATAGCACTCAAAAAGGGGTCATATAAAAAATCATAGCACAAGGTAGAGTTGACGGTGTTGGGTAATAAATGAGCATGGATTTCCTATTGTTTAATTAACAGAAGACACAGAATCGGGATGAATGGGTATTTTTCAAGTTGAAATACCCATCCCCCAAAACCCACCCAACATACTCTGAAATATACTATTTGATGGGCACTATTCTCTCGGAGATCTTTTAACTTGATGTAATTCATTAAACCTGCCACATTAAACATTACCAGATCTAAATTAGCCACATTCCACATC